CTGGCTGGCAGCCAGCAGTAATCGGCACACCACATAGACCTTGTGTGTTAACTTAATTATAGCACAGTGCAAGCAGCAGCTAGACAGTTTGCTGTGAGGAATCACTGCCAGTGTGGCACTGAGTCCATGCATTTAAAAGTTACCCATCTGATCCATGGCTTTAGGTAGTGAGAGGCTGGGACTTGCGCAGCCAGTTTAGCCTTGTGCTGTGACTCACTGCAATCTCACCTTTCTCAGGGAACCTTGGGTGGGCATGAGAACCTTTGCCTGGCACTAGGGACACTCTAACCTCTCCTGCATAATATCTGAACGCCTTCTGCTTTCTCTGCCACCACTTATCCTCAGGAATTTATCAAAGGAACAGATACTTCTGCTACTCGCTGTAATGCAGTTAATAGTCAGCCACTCTAATTCCTTTTTTGTTTTTTTTTTTTTTCCCCCATTTCATGGCTTTGGTCTACCTTTTGTAAGTTCTTGGGAAGGGCAAGTAGTCTTATTTTGGCTTCAAAATAATGTTCAAGTCAGCCTGAAGCCTTCCTACACGTTTGGCTGGCACATGAATTAGGTATTTATGGTTTATTTAGATACTGTGACTTTTGGGATTCTGTTTCTTTCAGTAGTGATTAGAAGCATCATCCTGAGTCAGGTCCCAATGTGCTGTACCATTGACTTCAGGAAAAAATAAGTTGCTCTTTCAGAGAGCTTTTGGTTTGGAAAATTTTGAAGCAAGTATGCCTAGATCATCAGGCATGGAGTCAGGTAGTTGTAATTGGATAGCTAGAATCTTTTTCAGGAAATACACTGTCAAACAGGAGAATTTTTACCTGTGACTGTTAGAAAGAAGGCTGTGATACTGAACTTCCTCCAGTAGCTACTTGTTAGCAGTCACATGAAGAGATACTGAGCAAGGAGAGAAATAGATGGAGCAGTTATCCTTGTGGTTGCGTAGAAAAGTCTGAATTACAAGCCTGTAGAACAGTCTCATGAGTGTTGGACAGCCTGTTAAAGCAGAGTCCTGTGCTGGTTCTTCAGTTGCCTTCATGCAATAAGATAAAACAAGCCAGTAGCTTACTCAGCAGTTGTTCAGGGCTTCAGCAATATACACAGCCTTTCAGTATGCTTTGTCTCTCTGATCAGGCAAAAAAAATGTCATGAGAACAAATACTTCAAGTCTCTTTGGGACTCAGAATTTCATAGATGTCTAGGAGAAAAGGGGGAACAAACCTAGCATTTTCAAAGCTGGAAGCTTGTCTTTGATTAAAGTTTAACAGGTGAATTTGAGGAATTAATATGATAGTGAATATCCTAGGTTGTATTTTGTTGTTATTTGTATGATGCTAGTTTGACACCTGAGGAATTCCATTGAGTTTAACGTTTCTGCTGATCTTTTCAAAAGGGAGGCTCAGATAGGAAGCGCTGTTTGAAATTTTCTGGTTTGTGTTCTGTAAAGTTCTTGGCTATGTGAACCTTGTGACCCAAAACCTGTGGGTTTTGGTGGAGTTAGGTAAGGAGGAGTCCAGGAAGGCTGGACATCCTTCAAGAAGGAAATCTTAAAGGTGCAGGAGTGGGCCATCCCCATGTGCCAAAAGACGAGCTGGCAGGGAAGATGACCAGCCTGACTGAACAGAGAGCTTTAGCTGGAACTCAGGAAGAAAAAGGAGAGTTTATGACCTTTGGAGGAAGGGGCAGGCAACTCGGGAGGACTACAAAGGTGTTGTGAAGTTATGCAGGGATAAAATTAGAAGGGCCAAAACCCAACTAGAACTTAATCTGGCTACTGCCGTACAAGACAATAAAAATTTCTATAAATACATTAGCAATAAAAGGAGAGCTAAGGAGAATTTCCATCCTTTATTGGATGCACGGGGAAATATAGTGACAAACGATGAGGAAAAGGCTGAGGTCCTTAATGCCTTCTTTGCCTCAGTCTTTGATAGTAAGACCAGTTGTTCTCTGGGTACCCAGCCCCCTGAACTGGAAGACAGGGACAGGGAGCAGAATGAAGCCCCGATAATCCAAGGGGAAATGGTTATCAACCTGCTACACCACTTAGAAACACACAAGTCTATGGGGCTGGATGGGACCCACCCAGGGGTACTGAAGGAGCTGGAAGAAGTGCTCACCAAGCCACTTTCAATCATTTATCAGCAGTCCTGGTTAACAGGGGAGGTCACGCTTGACTGGAAGTTAGCAAATATGACACCCATCTACAAGAATGGCCAGAGGGAGGATCCAGGGAACTACAGGCCTGTCAGTCTGACTTTGGTGCCGGGGAAGGTTATGGAGCAGTTCATCACACAGCACATACAGGACAACCAGGTGATGAGGCCCAGTCAGCATGGGTTTATGAAAGGCAGGTCTTGCTTGACTAACCTGATCTCCTTCTATGACAAGGTGACCCACTTAGTGGATGAGGGAAAGGCTGTAGATGTTGTCTGCCTAGTCTTTAGTAAAGCCTTTGACACAGTTTCTCACAGCATTCTCCTGGAGAAACTGGCTGCTCATGGCTTGGACAGGCATACCCTTCGCTAGGTAAAAAACTGGCTGGATGGCCAGGCCCAAAGAGTGGTGGTGAATGGAGTTAAATCCAGTTGGTGACCAGTCACAAGATGTGTTCCCCAGGGCTCAGTACTGGGGCCAGTTTGGTTTAATATCTTTATCAATGATCTGGACGAGGGGATTGAGTGCACCCTCAGTAAGTTTGCAGATGACCCCAAGTTGGGCAGGAGTGTTGATCTGCTTGAGGGTAGGAAGGCTCTAGAGAGGGATCTGGACAGGCTGGATTGATGGGCTGAGGCCAACTGTATGAGGTTCAAAGAGGCTAAGTGCTGGGTCCTGCACTTCGGTCACAACAACCCCATGCAACGCTACAGGCTTGGGGAAGAGTGACTGGAAAGCTGCCTGGTGGA